ATTTTGAGATGTGCATTTAGGATTGGGGCAGAGACAATTTTTGACAGCTCTATGGAATTAATTCTTCTTTATGACAGTGTGTTTTACTGCTTGCTGTATGTAATAGTTTCTTTCATTGCCACTTATGTCCTTTGCAGTGAATGAAATTCGCCGCTGTATGACAGCACACTTTGAGTGTCGGTGGCTTTCATTTTGTCTATTAAGGAAGATAATTGTAAGGAGCAGATCAGACCTGAAGGAAGGCTTCTGAACTGAACCCATTTCAAAGAGGGAAAACAGAGCTGTCAAAACTTTGACTTTCTAATTCCTAAAGAGCCGTTAATTCAGTCAGCTGCATGATCTACTGGGAGTAGAAATGAAACTCCACTTGCATGACCTCTGGTGTCAATCACTGTGGGAGGAATCTGCATTTATATTGTCAGTGCACAAACTTTCTTTACTTCCTGAAGCATGAAATCACCTTTCAGATGGAGTAAGAAATATAATCGCCCATTCTTGAGAGGTGTAACAGTTTGGCCCAAGGCTTCAGTTACACAGAGAGAGTTTGAACACTTTATCTTGACTTCAGCATCAACCAGTCTCTTGGAAGCTGCATGCTTTGCAAGCCAGAGTTTCACCACTTATCTATCCCTAGGAACATGCTTAAGGTATGTGGATATAATCAGAGATTGAAGCCTTGAAGAAAATTTATTCACCATTTTTCAAACCAGAAACTACAGCCCAAAGTTAGGTTTGCAAGGAGGTTCTAGTTTTGGGGGGCATGATGTACCTGTTGTCCGACAGAATATGGATTTTGTTGAGCATAATCCTTTACATGCAGAGGTAGCATGAAAGAAAAAGTGAGCCCAAAAGAATCTGAGCTGCAGGATAGGTTTTTATTGTTTTTCTATGAATGTTGTGCCTTTCTCTGCCAGTTGTTTAAATGGGTTTACACCATCTTGCACTACGGTTATGCTGTTCAAGCTTTATGCCAGGTGTAAGATGTCGTGCATCTCACACAACATGTTTGTTAGGTCTTGCTGTATTTCTGAATTGTTAGCACAGCTTCTGTTGTCTTCTTGACATACTGGAGATGCTGGCATGCTACTCAGCCATCCTCAAATACCTCTGTACATTTCTTAGAGTAACATGTGTCAAGTTTAGTATGATGACATGTTTTACGTCTGTTGTTCCAAGAAAGATAGTTTTGGTCATATGCTGATCAGCACATTGAATAACCTGCTTAAAATGTCACCTAAAGCAGAGCAGGTTATCATCAGTACTGACCACGAATTTAGCCCAGGTGCTCTGAACTTGTATCTGATATGATGTTCCACAGGCAAAATCAGCAGCCCATCAAAGCAGCAGTTTCCCATGAGCCAGGGTGAGGGAAAGCAGCCAAGCGAGCTCACGCTGCAGTCGTAACTCACCTTTCATTGAGGGATGAGTCTGGCATCTGTGATTTTAAGATGCAGGAATCCTTCAGTCAGACCCCAGGTGTGCAAGCTGGTGACCTGCTGATCTTTTCTGTACTTCAGTGTCACCTGTTCCTTTTCCCCCCCCTCCCCCCCAAAAAAAACCCAAACATCTGTTCATCCTGACCAGCCAGAAAGCAAAGGAACAAGAAGTGAAAGAAGTGACCTGGCTTAGTAAGTAGGGCACCTTTCATCATGTGAAAAAAGTTGCTTTTTTTTTTTTTTTTTTTTTTTTTGTTAAGACAGTCTGATTTGGGAATGTGGACATGCTGTAGAGAGCCCTTACATGCAGAAACCTCTGCAAAGAGCCCTTCTTATAGCACTTACTGCTGACTGCAAGAAGGGTATCTGCAAGAAGGGTTATTTGTGCTGTGCCTTGTTCCAGTGGAGATGCCCAGTGTGTCAAAAAGGAGGAAGAGAAGAGCACTTCCTGGCTTAGAAAAATCTGTAAATACATAAGGATAGATTAATATAACTGTAACATACAATTACATGCCTCTTCTCTGCATGCATTGAGAAATATAGGGCTGGCCCCTGGAGCTTTCTCCAGTGAGGCATCTGAGTTTGTTTGGGAAGGGAGAGTATAGCAGAAGAAATATTTAAAGGAGAAAGAATGAGACTTCTTTCAGCTTTTGAACATCTTTCCCAAGAATTTATAGATGAATTGACTAAAACTCAGTGATAAAAGAGTAACTGACTGGGTGTGCCTCGGGGCTGCCCTCGGAACGAGATGTGCCGTCTGTATGGAGCGTACCTGCTGTGTGCATCTCCTGTGTGACTGGAGGGCAGGCTGCAGAGCTTGGGATGCTTTCTGCCTTTGGTTTTGTGTCTGGAAGGGTTGACTCCAGCACAGTATGCTGCCTGCGCTGCTGCTGGGCTCGTCAGAACAGGCACTCTGGCCACTGGTGCTGGGATCTGATCGGAACGTGATGTGACTGCATGTGTGAGCACAGGGCTGCCGGCTGCTGCTGAGATCTCCCAGCAGGGAGGTGGAAATCTCTGCAAGCTAAAGCATAGCTTTGAGCTATCCCAGATATATTTCCACCACAGCAATCTGCACTACAATGCTGTCACTGCTGTGCCTGAGGGTGGAACAAAGGTCTCTGGGCACACAGCATTCACCTCACTGGAGTTTGTTCCTTGTAAAGCTGGAGCACAGCCTGGGAGAGCAGCGCAGCTCTGTGATGCGTTCTGGTGTCATTGCTGTACTGAGGGTTAGTGCTGCACAGGTGACAAGTGTGTGTGCTCTAAGTTCAACACAAGGCAGGGACTGTGCAGGATTACGTGGCTCTCGAGAGTATATTCCTGACCAGAAGCTAGGCAGACAACTTCAGCACCATCAGTGAAAGCAGAAGGTTAAAAAATAAAAAGGCTACATTTTTTTCTTCCTTTCTAAATGAGAATTTAAAATATTGTGAAAGAATTTTATTTTTTTTAACGCTCTGGGGCCTTTCTCTGCTGATATCATTTATGTAGAACCAACAAGCTCCGTTGCTTCTGCTGTTGTGTAGAATTCACTGGGACCATAAATCTTAAAAAAACACAAATACGGTTCAGGAACCTGCACTGGTGCTCACTGTCAGAGTTTTCATCTGATTTTCTGTGTTTGCTAGCTTTCATGATGCCAGGTACGGGGTCCTTTATCAGTAAGAAAACAAGAATTTGGCAAGGACCAAAGGCGCACTTGTTGGTATTCATTGATCCAGCCTTGTTCTACATAGTGAGTGTCAATGAGGGAAATCAAAGGCCCTGTAGTCATTCTCCTGTAGATACAAAACCTTAAAGATGTTTTTATGAAGATCACAATTCTGAATGTTAAAATCTGTGAAGAGGAGGAGGATCACACAGAATCGTGTGGTTGGATGCTTGGTTGTAGCTTTTTGAATTAGCAGCCGATATTGCATGTTCATAATAAAGTCTCACTGACAAAGCTAGAAATGTTTCTTAAGCTCCAGATGGCTGCTGTTCTTTATGACTCGCTTTAGGGTGCAGACTTTGGTTTCATATATTTTGATAATCCATCCTGATTATTGAACTAATACTCATAGTTCTCCATGTACTGCAACAGTACCCTTTGAGAAGCTGCAGCATATGCCTTGGAAGGGGAAATTTTGAACCTAAGAAAATCTCTGCAGATGATGTCTCTCATTTCTTAGGTTCCCTTAAGGCTGAGACCCGTGACTCTGGTAATGTCTCTTTAAACATAGTGACGAGATTCTCATTCTATGCATGGTCTTTCAATGGATGAGGAATAGTCTTGAAACATTTTCCAAAGTCTCTTCTAAAGACCACCCTTTATGTTGGATCAAGTTCTAAACTGAACCAACAACAAAAGTAAAAACGCATGGAAGAGTTTATTGGATGGAAAATACAAAGGGCAAAGCTGCATAAGTGTTTTGTGTAGGTGACAGAGAAGATGGGAGCTGAGAATCCCAAGCCCTGGAGCTGCTGAGCAGTTGCCACAGCAGGGGTTGCACTGGCAGATTCTCTACAGCATGATTGCAACACCTTTAGAATCAGAATATCACATAAAACAAGTACCCATGCAGAAGGAGGAAATAAGGAGCGGTGTAGGACAGAGTACTTTTTGTAGGACCCTGCAGTAGCACAAACATGAGAAAGCTGAGTCCAAATGCACACGCTATTACAGAAGTTTTCTTTTCCATACTGACCTTGCTGGTATTATTCTGCATTTACATTCCTGTGGGCAAAAGAAGAAACTGCGTGTGAGTCGTGGACAAGGGAATCTGAGTGTGGGCTCATCCCACGGGGCTTATTTAGAGACATCTGTGTTGTTCCAACCTCAGGAAAGTACTTTGAAAAAAGTGTAAAGAGTTTGTGTTTGATTGATCTGTGTGTGCAGCTTAGTGCTGACGTTTTTCACTTAGTATTCACTTCACAAATAAGAGATGTAAAATGTTTAGATTAAACAAAGCCAAAATTAAGAAAATTTATTGATTCTCTCCTTTCCTTCCATCCTTCTTACTAAAAGTTTTTGGCTCTCTTACATTAGTGACTGTGGTCTATATTGGCATTTACACTAATGAAGAGCCCACGGTGTTTCCCTAAATGTTCTGCTACAAGTACCTTGTTAATAGCTTCCATTTATCCAGCAAAAGAAAAACTGCAGTCTCCAACATGTTGTGCAATAAACCAAGGACACAGAAGGGGCATGAAAGTGCAGTCTCTCCCTATCTGTGCCATCCTTTATTCCAGCACAGTCAAATGCTTTGTACAGGAAGATGAAACCTGAACTGCAGGTCAAAAGAAGCTTGCCCAAGGATCTGTGCTTGTTCCTCTCCAGAGATGGAAATAGACAGAAATGAAATCTGAGTGAGGCCCTGTGGCTTGTAGCACAGTGGTTAGCAGTAAGTTTGTCTAGGAAATTATTATCATGTTCTAACAGAAAGTAATGATACTGCTTGCTGCTTGTACTTCATGCTGGGTGAGAGAAAAGCTTATTAGCAGAAATAAGCATTCTGTTTTTTAACCTTCTTTTCTATGGTATGTGGTGAAAGTGCTAAAAAGTGAACTTTATTTCATCAGGTTTATTCCATGAACAGAAAAGAAGACAACGCTCCTGATCCTCCTCCTCATCACATACCAGCAAGATTTCAGGGTGGCAATCTTTGAAGAGATTCTGAAACATCAAATCAGGAAAAGATGGGAATAAGCTGATTTCTTCCTGAGATAACACTGAGAACATCGTTGCATGTCTGATGGAGAACAGAAAACGAGTGAGAAAGGTAAGACAGCTTCTTTAGAATTAGTTCTTTTGCATTTCTGAAACATGAAAAGCAAAATTAAGTCTTACAGGGAAAACATAATTAAGTTTCACTTGGGTAAATTCCATGGCTATAAAGAGCTAATAGAACAAGCACTGTAAGCAAGTGAAATGCACTCAGCTTACAGAACTATTTGGCCATCATCTGTACACATAATCACACTGATTCATGTGAAGGTGATATTTACTTACAATAAAGGTGGGGCACTGATGTTGATGTTGCTTTCTTAACATGCCACTGGTGTCCCTTCAAAAAAACGTAAGCCACAAAAGTTGGGGCTAATTGTGAAGGTTTTCTTCTAGGTGATCTTGGGCAGGTCCAGCAAAGCGACAGCAGCAGTGCCAGGAGTGCAATCCATGTATGGGTAACCTCCCAGCCTGTGCTCTAATAGCTGTTCCACTGAAGAGTAAAGATTCTTTCCAGAATTAGTCACAAGGACTAATTAATTTATCTTCTTCTAGCAATTAGTTTTTCTTGCCGTATTATAATGGATTCTGTGTTCATCATCTGATCAGCAATTTTGAAATGGTCATTTAACGCCTGCAAACCATAAAGATTAAAAAAATACAAATGCTGAGATCCTCTGATTAAAAATCCATTGGATAGGAAATGAGTTTTATCTCAGTCAAATTGCATAGTGGAGAAGAAATCGTAAAGATATATAAATACAGAGTGGTCAGTGCCAAAATTTAGAACATCTTTAGGGGACATTAATATTATTTGCATGAATTTGTCACTAATTAGTCTATCTGTATTTCCCTGCAGCATGCAGTCTTCTAAAACAGTCCAAATTCTGTAAGGTGATGGTTTATTTCTGCCAGAGGCAAAAACCAAGTGATGCACAGTGCAGTTGCTCACCTGCCATTGCCCCGCGTGCAGCTGGACCCCAAGCAGTGGCTGCCTGCAGCCAGCTCATTGCTGAGCATTTGTGAGACATCCCTGAGGTCAGCTGTCCTGCTTTGTCACCTCTCAGCTGCTTTTCCCCCCATCTCCTCGTGGTGGGCAGCACAAGAAGCTGTGAAGCCCTTGACTTAGCATGAAACCTGCTCTACAACAACTAGAACATAGCGTGCTATCAACAGGATCTTCATCTTAAATCCAAAACACTGAGACCGTACAAGCTACTATGAAGAACATTCACTCTATCCCAGCCAAAACTAGGATATTTTTATGTGCTGACTTTAGAGTTGCTCTTCCTGCTCATTTGATGCTCCAGTTGCGGTGTTTGTTAGCAGCTGCAAAACCCAGCCTTAGGATGGGGCTTAGTTTTGCTAATAAATGCCCTTACAATCTCAGAGTTTTCCTTTAGAGAGCTGGTGGAGAGCAGTTTTTAGCAATTGAGTTAGCTTTCCTGTAATCATGCTGCTTTTCAGCAAGCCTTGAACCACATCTCTCTGAAAGTGATAGATGATTTATTCTTGCTGCAGGAGGCTGCTGAAGTTGCTCATTAACAGTTATTGATGCCATAACACTTCTTGCTATAACGGACTTTCTTTTGATTATTAGAACTTCTTTTAGCTTCAGTTCTCAAGAGCTTACTCATAGCAGCTTAATCAATATTTTGGTGTTTCTAAATGGGATTTTTTTAAAATAATTTGTCCCATTTTTCTTTATTTACTAAAATGTCTATTGCAATCAAAGGAACTGTTTCCTCCTTTTTTTTTTTCCCTTCCAGAAAAGGTTCTTTCAGAAGTTTCAGCAACTCTTTGCAATGACCAGGAATATGAATTTCTGTGTATTCTGTGTTTCTTGGATACTATTTGAAATGTTCCAAGTGCTCAAGTTATTGCAGGTGATGTCATCCAATGGACTGTGTGCAAATGACCAGCAGGCAATGATCCCTGCACTGATCTGGCTTTTGATTAAAAAAAGATGCGACAAGGTTTCCATTCATTTAAATGGGGATATGATTAGACCATTAGCCAATCTTGTATTTCTTTTAAGTAATGAAATATTATACAGATAGTTCAGAGGAGCTGTTAGTACTACAAGTCCTTCCAGTTGTTAGCTTTTCTTTGTTATAAGCTGATCTGTAATGAAATATGTTCAACTCTCTCATGGTAGAGCTGTGTAACTCTTACAAATTTTATAGCAACACGTTCCTCTTGGGTTTAAGCCAGTGCAAAAACCAACGATGAGTTCTCAAGCATGGCATTCTTTCCCCGTGATTTCTGCATTTTGTGCTGCATTTTCTATTGTAGGTTGTACACAGTATATCTGGTGGATTCTTTCCTACTTCCAGAGCAGGGATAAGAGGGTGGTTTTTGATTTTCTCATTCTTAATGAATGGAAAAATAGCACTGCTTTGACTCTTTACAGTCATAAAACTGCCCAAAGTTTACTTGACAAAAAAGGAGTGAAGAGCTGCTGACCTGCTGGAAAGGAGTGTTTCCCTCTGGATTCACCTCCCAACTGCTTCCAGCAAAATCAGTCTTTCCCATTTAAATTTGTCAGCACAGATAAAAATCAGAGACCAAATTTTGTACCAGTAAAAAAGAAATCTGATTAAATACAAGGGCTGCTCTGAAAGTAATGCCTCCTGTTTTGTTAAGTTGGCCCACAGCATCAGAGGCAGCTGTTGGAGGGACGGCAGCAGAGGCTGAACCTTCTCACCAGGATCCCATTGCATTTTGTGGCCATGTGAGAGATGGCAGCAGAAGGGCAGAGTGGCAGAATGGCATCTGGGAACAATACTTTTTTCTGCTGAAACACTGAAGGGTTCTGTAAGGGACCCAGTGAGAGATTTCAGCCCTAAGATCCTCTGGGATGACAATTCCCACTGTCTTGCTTTCTGCTGAATAATTTTTATTTCTCCTGAAAGAAAGTTCATCTTGCTTTTGAAGAAGATTGTCTAACTGGATTTAGGTCGTTACAAGAGCAGAAGGAAAGTTGCTTTTTTAAAAGTCTTCAAGGATTCAGTCTAATCCTTAAATCTCCAGAGTTGGTGATAGGATGTTTGTCCAGGACTGCAGTGCTGCCTGCCTGTGAGCTTCCAGAGATTCGTCCAAGCAGGGTTTGAAGAAGGTGAATATTCTTTTCAAGCTTCACGTTATCTAAACATACACCTTCCTTGGGGGTTAGTGATAGTTTGTTCATGTTGGGTTTGGTTTTTTGCATTCCAGGGACCTGTGTGTCCGTCTGAACTGTGAAAATTACCACCTTAAATAACAGCAGCACAAGGCACGTCAGATGCAACTTTTTAGACAGGGCTGACTGCTGATTTTGTAAAGACTCCTCTTCATATTTCCTGCCAACTGGCAAACCTGCTGATGCTGAGCTGCTCTGCTGATGGTTTTATTTACTGGGGACTGAATCTGGTTTGTGTGTCAAGCTTGTGACACACATCTCTGAAGTTTCTGGTGTGAATGACTTGCTGGGTGACAAGTAGGTCTGGTGCAGAGAGAAGATTAGAACAGAGCTGCTCTGCCTTGTGGCCCAGACTTGTAACTACTTGAGAAAGAAACAATCTTCCCTGTTCTGTAAAGCTCTTATATAAAATCTTGGTATATTTTTATTTGTTGTTGTTCTTTCCCTACAGCTGTCAAAATGGTACTTAGCAGGTTTATCCAAAAAACTGAGAGCTGGGGGTATAGTCACTGAGCTGATCCCATTTTAATCATTGACCTTAAGTGGAAAGAAGCAAAAAATCAAACAAATATTTTCTTTTTTTTTGCTGATCTTTGAAAGGCTGCCAAAACTAGCAAAGGTGAATCCATTTGGGACAAAGGAGATGCTTTTGTTTTCCTGCTTCTTTCAGCTTTGTTGTATTTTTTATGGCACTCAGCTACTGTAATTGGAATACAAAACAACTTTGCATCAAATCCCTCTGAAACCAAGATATGCTTCATATAAGTACAATGCCACCCAGAAAATGTTTGTGTACCTTACATGTGTATAATTTATACCTACTTGGTAAGTATTCTAAATTCCTGCAGCTTTTTTTTTTTTGTTAAAAGACAAAGATGGAGAGAGAATTTTCCTGCACCTCTTTGGCTCGAACAGAAGAGCTCAGCCTGAATCGAAGTAATAATTCAAATGCATCAATTTTGAAAAGAAAAATTAAATATGAATGTTAATTTTTTTGTATCATACAGAATGCTGACGTGAAACCCCCTGCAGATGTTACTTTTATCCTTGCTGCTCAATGCTCTGAGGGAAATACACCTGTTCACAGTTCAGTGAGCTCACATACATGCACAGCCTGTCCAATATTCATGGATCCTTCAGGTTCAGTACACTGGGAATAAACCTTAGAGCAAAGGCATTTTTCTTAAAAGGTCATTAAAGCTTTCCAGAGGCCAAACTGTTTAGTAATGTTCATGTAGTGAATTAAGTGGTGTCACATTTGTGATTAATGTCAATTAAACAGCTTGGGCTGGTTTTGTATGATCTAAAGCAGTTTTGTTCCATATTGCCTGCTGTGGGACATGGCTGCAACTTTGGCACTGGCTGTGGGCTCCCATAGAGCTAAGATGATAGATTCTGCATGTCAATTGCAAAGCCTGGGAGGTGAGTTGTTCAGTATTGGTGAGGATTCTTTGTGTACTACTCAACATGGTCCAGAGTGTTTCATTCACTGCCTTGCAACTAACATGAAAACAGGAGAACAAAAACGGGCTGGGCCAACTTTGTTTCCTTATGAACATAACTCTTGTTATGTCCATAAGTTATGCCTACTGCTTCAGCAATAGAATCTTTTGCTTTCTTGGGAGTGTAAACATTTGCAGGATTAAATAAATAACAACAACTTTAATAATAATGATATAGGGACTCCTCCATAAGGTCAGTCAGGCCTTTTCTTCTGTGAAACCGCTCAGTTCTGTGTAACAGGACAAGATGAGCACAGTTTTGAAATCATTCACATTCACTCTGAAATGTAAGGACATTGGCTGGTGTTTGATTGATGCAGGTAATGGTTTTTGCTCACCAAGGACAGAACTTACAAAAAAAGAATAATTCAA